ACAATATATTTCTTTTAAACTTAAAATTTTAATCGATTCATAAGAAAAAGAAATAAATCTTGAATGATCAATTAAGAACAAATATGAAACATATTTCAAGATTATTTCAAAATCCAAACTCATAATCATAGGCAAAGAAATAAATTTTGAAATAACAATTAAACACAAAAATAAAATATATTTCTAAATTATTTCACAAAAATAAAAAATCAACAATTTAACATTTTTCAAGAATCAAGTATTTTGATCATATAAACATTGCATCAAGAGATAATTTCATCCATATGTACACATGATGATTTATGAAAACAATAAAATTAAATTTCAAATATGAAAAATAATAAATTCAAGCATTAGAGGCAAATTCCCAATTTTAATACAAATATTTATTTCAAGGTACCATTTAAAATATACATAATCAATTAAATATTCATAATACATACTCCTTTTTAACAAAAAAAAATTATTTTTAAAATAAAAAATTAAAAAAATTCAAAGTTAAAATCAAAAGTCAAAGGTCAATAGTTAAAAGTCAAATGGTTAAGGGATACAATATAAACTTAGCACATGAGATTTTATCCCATTTGAAGAGCCAAATTCATTTTGGTGCTGCATTTTGAGTGAATGGATTAATTTTATCCAAGAATTTATCAATCCATTTTAGGGTTTTAAGCAAAATTTACATTCTGAAAAAAAAAATGGATAGATCGAGTAAAACAGGTGATCCATCCCCTTTTAGCATTTTAAGTCAATTTTGCATTTTGGAGCAAAATGGATCGATCAAGTAAAATAAACAATCAATTGTTTGTTTACTGCAATAAGAAAATAGTGAAAAATTATAATTTTTTATTCAAAATCTGGAATTTTGATGTTTTTAGTCAAAAATAAATTTTAAACATGTTAAAAACATCATTTTAAACTTATGTAAATAAAACAATTGGATCAAAAATATTTTGAAGCAAATTTGGCGTGATTTTGCAAATGTAATCACAAATAGTCAACAAATACATATATTTTAATTTTTCAATGTTCCAAACCCATTTATGCAATAAATAGTACCATAAACACCTTTGAAACATTTAAACTTTTATAACTTTCATCCAAAAGACTTTGGCACAAGTATGTAAACATTTTTCATAAATATGAAAACTTGTTTAAGTTATAAAACATGTGCAATATGAATAATTTTCTTATGCAAGCTTTTTTACACCTCATACTATTCAAACATCAATATATACTATACAAAATATATAAAAGCCATAAAAATTATATTGATCAAACTAAAATCACTCAATCAAATTTATTTATACACAACATAATAGGTAAAATCATTCAAAGCTTAAAAAAAATCTATGATTTTAATTTTTGACACCTTAAATCTCATTTTTGTTTGGAAAAGATCTTAATAAATCTCAAAACTTGTCAAGCTTATTTTTAATTAACTTGAACTATTCTAACAAGTTTCAAATGATAAAACAAATTTATTTAAATGGTCATTAAGGCTAAAAACAAGGAAATCAAAAAGTCAAATCTTAAGACTCCATATTTCTTTTAAAAGGCTATTAAAATGAGTAAATATGTTTAAACTCATAATTAAGCTCATTAATTGTCTAAATGTTTTTTTTTTGCCTATATTTGCTAAAAAACAAGATTTGCTCTTTTAAGTTCTAAAACTATTTAAAATTGCATATAATATTTCAAAAATTAAGTCTATTTAAAGTTAACTAAGTTTCTTTATTTTAGCAATTTTAAATCATTGGACTCAAAATATTCAACTCATTTGGCATTTTAAAACTTTTTAAAATAAAATTTTACATTTTATGCTTGACTTATACAAAAATGTTTTTAAAAGCAAATTTTAAAATCTCAAAATCAATAAGTTTTTATTCTCCCAAAAAATTTATGCATAAATATAGAAACAATCAAACAAGCACAACACTCAATCATATCAAGCATGTCAAATATTTATTAAGCATTCATATTTAATATTCAGTTTTACCAATCATATCACACATATACTAAGACTATCAACCATTCAAGCACAATGGTAATTCTTATGCTCTTATGCCACTTAAAATGAAATATAAATGTATCTCAAACAAATAAGCATCATAAGCAATTTCAACATGCATGAAAATATATTAATAGTACAATCTTGTACCCAAAAGCAAAAATAAATGCATATGCAATCTAAGTTTCACACTTTATCAAGATGACAACAACAACAACGACAAATTAAACCTTATATCCCATAATTCTAAGTTGTATGAAAAATTAAAAAAAAAAAACATCATGTTAAGTTGTAGTTTTGAATCTTTTTGTGTTATTCATTTTTATAAAAGAATAACCTTATTAATCCTCATATCATTTTTTATTACTTACAATCACGTCTTTCATGATTTACCTCTAGAAGTTTTAGTCTCTCTTAAATCCAAAAGCTTATTTCTCCTAACTAATAAACAGATAGGTCTACATTTCACATTTTCAAACCATCTCAAACAACCATCTCTCATCTTTTCCTTAGTACTGCCTTTAATTTTTTTCCAAATCTCTTCATTTTTTATTTTGTCTATTTTAGTCTTACCACATATCTTAGCATCCTCACCTCAGTTATGCTTGTTTTTTTCTCATATTGTTTCTTAACAACCCAACACTCGTCTCATATAACAATGCAAGTCTTACAATTTTTTTATACAACTTCACCTTTATCACGTAACAAACCCAACGCACTTCACCACTTTACACATTCTACTTCAACCTATGATATACAACCCTTTTTATTTCAGCATCACTCTAAATAATTATCCTAAATATAAAAAATGACTATTATTTGGCACTACCTCACCATCCAACTTAATCACATTAGCACTCACTTCCCTATTACTACTAAACTTACACTTTATCAAGATTATGCAACATATTTATCAAATCAAATTAACATAATCAAGATATATCAATAAGATAATATCAATAACAATTAAACATTCAATATTCAATAAGTATTGGCAACCAGTTTCAAATGCTCTTAAACAATTTGGTTTAAAAGTTACCGACATTTCTTTGTGTGTATAGAGTTTCGATCTTCAAGAATATACTTTGTAACTACCTACTCTAACACACTTACAAAAGACATTATTAATTTGGATTTTGGTACTTAAATTATTTTAAGTCCTCGAAAGTTAGTCACCAAGTCTCTTATTCATTTAAGAATCCATACTTACCTAATTTTAAATGTGACTTTCCTTCAAATAGGACAAATGAATGTGGAATAACCATGAAATTTATAGAATTTTCTTTTAATCATTTAACATGTGAGGAATTGTTCAAACATTTTGTTTTCATTTATTAACTCATCAAATTTTCTTTTCAAATCAATTTAAAAAAAAATTCACTCCTTTTTTGTTAAGTTACAAAATTCGTTTTCAAAGTTTTATTTTATCTTTCTAAATCACCCTTTCCATTCATCAAAAATTCATTTTCAATATTTAATTTTGAAATCTTTTTCTTGTATCTCATTATTAAATACTTAAATTCCACAAATAAGTCATTTATGCATCTTGTAATTTATTAAATGTATAATCATAAGATTGAGTTTAAGAAGTTGTTACCTTAGAATATTTAAGAGCTATGAAGCATAGTTTGTTTTAGTTTGAAGATTGGCTTTATAATAAAATCACTTTTTTAATTTCCTCTTCCATTGATGTTTCTTTGTACATGTTTTCACGTTTCTCCTATATTTCCTTAGCATTTGAGTATTTTTCAATCAACTTGAAGTTATTGGATTTAAATGCATTGTAAAGTATGTTTTATGGCAATTGCATTAACTTATAAGAGCATTTTTTGATTTTCAACACATTCTTCATTGTTTGAAGAAATATCAAGCCTTTTGATAATAATTCCCTATGCCTCCATATCTCTAGCCATGATGAAGAATTTTATTCTTACCTTCCATAAAGTGTGGTTTGAACTATTGAAGATAGAAAGATTCATGATGGATTGTTCTTCACTAAGTGTTGTATCAAAAACTTGAGCCATAAGATCACTTTTATATTGTTAGACCTACAAAAAAATAGAACCCAAATTTTGATACCAATTGTTAGCCCCAGTATAAATAATAATCCAAAATATGCTGAATTTGATAGTTTTTAAATTCTTTTCCAAAAATAAAGTTTTAAATAAATGTAAATAAAAAATTGAAAATATAAATGATATATGAAATTAAAGCACAAAAAAGCAATAATAAAAATAGAAGTAGAGTAGAGAGATCAAACAAAAAAATTTATAAAGGTTTAGTCATTATTTAAAGGCACCTACAATCTCTCTCTTACCTTTCATTGCTAAAAATCCAAATTTAGTAATTATTAAGAATTCTTACAAACTACCTCTCAAGGCTAAAGTACATCTTCTTACAAAAACTCTCAAAATCAAGAAAATACTATTACAAGAAAATATACTTTTAGTGAAAGAATTTTTCGTTGCTAAAAATTTGTTGAAAACATTGAGGTCGTTGAGGGAAAGAAAAATTTTGGCACTGAAAAGTTTTGTCCATTTTAGTTACAAACATAATTTCTACTTAAAAATACTTTTGGTGACGATATTTTTCATCAACAAATTATATAAATCTATCGCTAAAAGTATTTTTATATTTATTGAATTGAATTATTTCAAAAAAATTTGTCAATAAAAATTATTAACGATAAAATATTTTCATCAATAAAAAGTTTTAGCGACAAAAATTTGGTCACTAATAAACTTAAATCTGTCAATAATTTTTTTTTTCTGCAATGAATAAGGACCGATCTTCTTTCACGCAAAATGCATTTTCCATCCAAAAAAATATCTTGGTGAAAGGTGATTCCTTTAAGAGAAGATCAATCTTTTTTCACACAATGATGTTTTTTGCCAAAAAAAAAAAAAAAACCTTGTGTGAAAATGTTTTTTTTTTAAATATATTTAAATGGCTAAACATATAATAAATAAAATTATTCATTTCATTTATCAAAAAATAAAGTAAGGTTTTACAATATTATTACAAACTTGAATCCAATATCAAACCATAAGTCCACCAATACTCAAATGTGTTAGCAAAATGATGATACTCTTCCTTAAACATCAATTCTAAGAACACAACCACATATATGAATTAAAGCATTTTTTAATCAAAGCATTTTAACTGACTTCCTTGTACACGTTGCTTGGCATGATCAAATGACTCCATCCATTTTCAAGCTTCTCCAACTGTGAACAAGCAATCTTGAAGCAGAAAAGCTCTGAGTTACTTTTCAAGCAATATACTCTAGATAAACATTATACTATTAAGTAGAGCACCTCCAAACAATAAAGCACAGTGACAAACTGAAAGCATACCCTAGATAAACAGTATAGACAAGTTAAAAAGGAATTTAACTGTCTAAAATTTTGAAATAATAGATTTTATTGGTAGCAACCATCCAACTTATCAGAATCAGATAAAAGCAACAAAAGTATGAATACAAAACAAAACTCTTAGACACCAAAACAAGAAGCGTATGTATGATTATACAAGGATTAAAATAGAATAATTTTATTTAGTGGTCAAAATTATCCCTTCTCAAAATTTATATAATTTAAAATATGAATGTAATTTTTAAAGGTATAATAAGATATATAAGTTCAATCCCATGTGTTAAAAATAATCCTCACCATTTTGAGAGGATTGAATCATCCTATGCCAAGATGATGATTAATCTTCCTTGTAATCCTATCCCTTTCTTTAAATATAAACCAAACATGATATAAAATAATTATCATCCTATCTTATCCTATCCATCATCCTACACACCAAACATAACCTCAAAGCATTATATTTACATGGTGCAAGCAGTTTGTTACCTCTTTCTTCAATAAGTCTGCCAAGTTAGATTTCAAAGATCTGTGATAATTGGTGTATCCACAAATAAATGTAGAACCAATAGGACCCATTCTATGTTCCTTGGCAGCCTGATTTTGTTTAAAGAAAGAAGTTCTTAGAAATCATATAATCAGCTTATTATCAAGAAGATATTCTTTTTTCTTTTGAGAAGAATTGATCAATTATTTAGAATACCTTAGCAATAGCTTTTGCTATTGTTGGATGCGACTTCAAGCCTAAGAAATCATTACCACAGAATAGAACTAGCTTCTTTACTTGCTTCTTGTTTGCACTGTCATCTTTCTCAATATAGGTACATCATCCATCATCTTGTATAGGACTATGACCAAAAGCCAATTTTATATATAATTGTTAAAATATTAACATAATTATATGTGTGAGTTTTAGAAACATCAAAGGTAAATAGTGATAATCAATTGTTGGGCTCTACTAGGGACAAGAAAAGTGAGTGTTAGAATTTCACATTGACAATAAATTTACAAATAAATGACTTATAAAATGGTGTGGTAGACTGAACAACTCTTCCCTAAACTATATATTTGGGATTTACTTAATGAATGATCAAGCAAACTTGGGAATCAAACAATATGGTGAAAGTTTAATCTGCAATTTGCTAAACAAGTCTTTCCAAAGTTGAAAATAAATGTTTACAAAGTGCAACCACTTAATTTTTTGGTGCAGCCCAAAGCTAAAAATGCTACAAGTAGTATATACGTAGGAGGTGGGATGAAATTTAATTAAAAGCACAAAACAAGACAATACAGAAAAACAGGACTTGTAACAAATAATCAACAACTGGCAAAATCACAGACAATCAACAACAATATTGAAAGACAGTACAAGAATTCATGAAGACAAGTTGCATTGATCATCTGTACTATAAAACAAGGTTTTATGAGGAAATAATAAAAAAGAAAAAGGGCGATGATCAATGGATCAATCAATACAAAATACAAATAATTCTGTGATGATCATTCATCATCTCTACCAAATTTTGTATAATTACTTATATACTTGTACAACAAAAAATGGCAACATACTCTAATCCATAATTTCTCAGGATTAGAAGCCCGAAAATGTGCCTATAAAGTTTATCATGTTCACAAAATCCTAAACAAATGTTGCTTTAATCTTTCATATTTTACAAAATTCCAGCAGCTTAATTATAATAAGAACAAGTAAATAATTGGAAATCTTTACTCTATTAATGTAAAGGATTGATATATATCAAAATAATATATATGAAGGAATATGAAAGTTGTCCTAATTATTAACACACTGATGATAGAATGTGATTTTTTTCCAAATATCTACGAAATGAAAATCATAATATTTTCTTTAATTGAATTGATGAGAAAAGATAGAATTATCACTTAAATTTAATTTACTTTCATATTTCATCCTACCCATAAGCCAGTAGCCTTAAACCCAAAATGAAAACACTTGTACTCCCTTTCATTCCACAAAGAAATTAAACAATAATTACAAAAACTGGCCTTTGCCTTTAGATCAAAGTAGTAATACCTTGAAATCTGTCAAAGTAACAATTTCAACCAAATCCATGGGATCCACATCTTCATCATCCGTCCTACGCCGCTTCTCCTTTTCTGGGATGAACAATCCATACCTCGATTAGGATCTATTTCACAAAAAGGTTCAGTTCATGAAGTCTGTCCTGGAACCCGTTAATTTCACGTTCTTAAAAAAGATATAAAAAAAAAAAGAAAAGAAAGAAAGGACAAAACTTAACAGCTAAAAGTTTGAGAAAAGGATTAGAAACTTACAAACTTGTAAGCACCGACATAGACTTCATTTCCCAACATGCGGACAAGACTGTTGGGCGGAGTCTTAGGATTAAGAATGGAAACCTGGGAGAGTCGAACTATTTTTCGTCGAAAAGGGATCGGCCAAGGAAATGAAGGGTGAAAAGGGAAGGGGATAAGGGGTCACCGGACGTTGGGCTGACGACAACCGGACCTCTCCGTTGTCGGGGCTGGAGCGTGGGCCTTGGTTGAAGAGGGGGCGCGGGGTTTTCTGGCGGAGGGTCGAGTGGGTCGGGAGAGAAAGGGGAAGAAGAAAACAGGGAAATGAGGAGAGAGAAGGAAAAATTAGAACTTAGCTACAGATTTTCGTCGTTGGTTCCTTCAACTCTCAATTAGCGACGTAATATTTCTGTCGCTAATGTTCGGTCCTTAAGTCTTTATTTAATTCTAAAAGAATTAAAATTGTTTTCTAAAAGAAATAAAGAATTAATGACCGAAATTTTTCGACATTAGATTCTGTCGAAATTAAGTGGCATTAGCAACAAAATTTTTCCATCGTTAAAATTTGTCCGTCAAGGAGAAGGGCATGGATAAAGTATTGCATTCTTCATTCTTAAATTTTTATATTATATTATTTTTTATCTATATTTAATTAATATTTTAAATTTATCTCTATTTTCATTCTCATCCTCATTCACATGAGTGTTTAATTCAATATTCCTATAACTTTTTAAAAAATAAAATAAAAAATTATTTTTTAATTTTTTTTATTTTGCATATAATATAGTTTTTTATAAAAAATATATTAAGTTTTAATTAATCTAAATAATAATTTACTATTATTTCATAAAAATTTATTTATTAAATATATATAAATATATATAGTACAAGTATGAAACCAAATATTATATTACGTCTATGTTTATCTTTATACTCATATTTAATAAAAATTTAAAATCATATATATATATTATATCATATATTTTATTCTCATATTAATAATATAATACATATTTTTATCTCTATTCCCATATTTTTTTAAATAAAAAATTAATTTTTTTATTAAATATGAGTAAAATTAATATCTTTAATTAATTGATATTAGCATGCTAATATTAGTGCCATTCCCATAACATTAGCATCAATATTTAGCGGTGAAATTAATTTTCTTCAATAATTTTTGTTAACTTTATCACTAAAAATAAAATAATAGTTCACCTAAACCTTCGGTAGAAAAATGCTAGCTGCAATCGTTTTGTTAAACGCTTTTAAAAACTCGTGACTTTATCAAGCCACGTCATATAAATTAAGTTTTAACCGGCAACTGCTATTTTTCGATTCCCCTTTTCTTTCTTGTCAAACTTTTTTGTTATTCTTTCTTGCCAAATTTGTTTTCCATTTTAAGTGAAGACTGAAGTCTCAACGTAACAAGAAAGATTAATGAGCTCTAGTCTTTAAATAAATATAAAAAAAAAAGCTATAGATATTCACTAAAGATTTTCTTTTATTTTCCAAATAATACTTTTTCTCCATCATTTCCATAAAGCTTGGTTTTGAATATGAAAACTTAATAGGTAAATCAAATTAGACAATTGAGGCAAAGAGATATTTTTAATTATCAATCTTTGACAAGGTTTTTATTGAAAAATTGATGTTTTTTCTTCTAAGTATCTTAATCTGTCAGGGTTTTTGCCATAGAAGGTTAATTGACTTCAAAATTTATTCATATGCACTCATTATGAGTAGGGTCGGTAATTCAATCCGTTTCTGACGAGTTTTGATCCGATTCGATCCGATTTTATAGGATCGTTTTTTTTTTTTGAAATTTGAGTTTTAGGTCAGATCGGATAAGATTAAAAAGTAATCGGAGTCGAGTCGGGTTCAGATTTTAGACAAACCTGATCCGATACTATATAAAAAATTATTTTTAATTAATTATTTAAATTTTTATTTATATATATATTTATATAATGAAATTTTTAAATATTTATATTTAAAAAATAATATTTTATATTTAAAAAAATAATATTTTATTAATTCGGGTCCAATCGATTACGGTTTATATAATATTGGGTCGGATCGGATCCGGATATAAAAAAATAAAAAAAATTTCGAGTAAAATTAGGTTCGAGTTTAATAACATATAAAGTCGGGTTGGATTCGAGACGAACAAAATTCGCTTCGAACCCGACCCGATGCCAACTCTAATTGTGGGAGAGGTTAATTTCAAGAATAGTTAAGGGATTCCTAATCATGTTGCAGAACCTTCAAGAGAAAAAATTTCCACTGGTTAAAATTTTAAAACATGAAAATAATAAAGGATTAGGAAAACTGATTCTATGGCTCTCAAACTTAGCTCACTTACCGATTGACTCAGTAACTCGTCAAGTCATATTGATTCCAACTTTCATGCTTCCCAAGCTTAATACTTCCTTCGCAATCTTCACTATTGAAACATCTACTAGTCAAAGAGAAATTATATTAAGTGTAGGAAAAATAAAATAAGAAAGTGGTGAAACCTTGTACAGAGATAAAACGATGAAGCTTAAAAAACCCAATTAGTTGAAGAGCCAAAACACGACACAATTCAAATCGGAATAACCATTTGACAAATGGATTTTGAAGCTTTTTCATAAAGATTAGAACTTTAAAGTTTAAACAGTGCAGATCAGAAACAAACTCTTAACCATACAAGCCAAATAAAGAGAAAAAAGATAGCAGAACAAAAAGGGATTTTTAATTTGAAAAATGAAATAAAGAGATTTGACTAATCCAAAAGTTAAAAAAAAAAAAAAAAAACCTTCAATTATGTGCAAGTGCAACTCCAGAATTCAAGTAAGAGAGTTTACAGCACAACTGGCACTTAGATTTAACTTTTAAAATGAGTTTTACGTGGTTGTCTAAAAGTACGAGTGTTTAAAGATGCGTGTTAGAGCAGTTGCCCCTAGCATTGCCCTCCTTAGGTAACACCACCTTTTGGTGACAAAAAATTTTCATTGATAATTTTCTGTCGCTGAAAAACTGTTTTCTTGTAGTGTATCACATCTCTTAATTACAATTAAGCTCTAATTTTTGCAAATTAAAGACACTTTTAAAAGATTTAGTATTTGTCTAATTAAGTACAAAATGAGTGACTAAATGATTTAGATACAATATTTGCAATGAATATGAAATTTAAGCTCTAAACTCTTTTGTTACTTTTAATTTTCTTGGAGAATTTGAAGATATGGCTTTATGAACTTTCTTTCATGTCTCTTCCTTGTACATGGGTGTTGAAAAGCCTCCTCATAGAGAGAAAAATTAGAGCCATTGGGATTGAGTTGCAAATGAAATTAGATGTTTATCTCTTGAAAAATTAGTCGTTAGAAATTATCTTAGACGAGAAGATTGATAGGATAAGTTAGAGGATCGATTAATTCTTAAATTTCATTAAGATTTTGACCATTACTTATTAAGGATTGATCAATTTTCTTAGGAGATCGATTAGGTCATGCTAATTTTGCATTTGGGGTGATTTTGGATGAATAGCAATCATTCCTTCATATGGCAATCAACTACCTTAAATTTTGCTCTATTTACTAATTTGACTATATTTTGAATTATATAAATTCAAATCAAGACTTATTTAAAAATTCATATAAAATTAGACTTACGTATCTTTTATACATATAAAATTCATCATTTAAATCAATGAATAAAAATTATGATGAATTTCTAAAGTTATTTGTTGTGCAATTATCTGACAACTTACATATTCTCTGGTAAAAATTTAAAATATTTTTTAAAAAAATTTAGATTTAAATTTTATTTGATCTATTAGATTAAACTCAAAAAAATTTTTGACCATATAAAATTTAAATATTAAAAATTTATAAATCAATACAAAAAAATAAATTTAATTCAATGTTGAAAAAATTTGTTCTGATCACATATTTTTTTCTAGTTAATTTATTTATTAAAATCAATATTATTAAAATTATATTGAGTCCAAGATGAATAAAATCATTTCAAAAACAACAATTAAACTTTTATTTAAATTTAAATAAAATAATCTTTAAAGAGTTTTTTTAATTTGGGAAATACAAAACATAAAAAGGAGGTTTAAGCTTTATAAAAACAATTTTCAAAATGAGATTTTAAAAAATCTAAATCGTGAAAGAGGAAAAGGGGTTCTGAGTCGAAAAAGGTTCTGTTTTGGTGTTCTAGTGATCGAATAATGGAGGTTAATGGTTGACAGCGATAGTCACCAATGGTCAAGGGCGATCATTTTCTAGGTTTTAGAGGTTTTGGATTTTTTTCACTAGAATTTTCAGACAACCTTTGAAGGTTTCAATTGTTGGATTCTAGGTAACCCACTAGAATCTAGGTTTTTTGAAGATTCTGATGGTTTTATTCTTTGTGTTTTTGATATTTCTAAAATAGTTGGAGCAAATTGGCTTAAAGAGAAAAGGAAATGAAAATAAGAAATAAACCTAATTTTTAAATTATATAGTAAAAACAAAATGACATCGTTTTTTGGAGTTTCACTTGAAAATTTGCGTCTCAACCACCTATGTGTTCTAGTAGCAAATAGGTTCTCGATCCATGTTTTTTTCTTCAGCTTGGGGCTTGAAATATCAACCTAGTCCAATAATCAAATCATGCCTAAAAATTAACGCAACCCAAATTCAATTTGTTTTCTCGCCCAAATTTTAGATTTTTAATTCTTTTTCATTTTTTTAGTTTTCTATTATTATTCATTTATTTTTTATCATGCATATTTTTAGAAAATATTTTAACTATTAGTAATATAAACTATAAAATAATTTATAGAGAATACAATAAAAATTCAAATATGATAAAGTTTATTTACCTTAGTTTAATTAGAATATTTACTAATATCATGTAATTTAATTAAGTTTTAAAAGTGAGTAAAAATTTCCTCTATGATGGAATTAAAAGATAATCACAAGTGGTGATTTTCATGAAAATCTTTAGGTGAAAATTTTTTCTAAAATTAGAAACATGTTTATTTATTTAAATCACAATCATGTTTATTTATTTCTTAAAATTAGAAACATATTTTAATTGTTTGAAAACATAAAAAAATAAAAAAAAAAACTAAAACATATGGGTTAGTTATAAGAACTAATTTCTGATTTAATTTTTTTGCATAAGTATTTTTTGTTATTTGTACGGTGTAAATTTAATAAAAACTTTTGAAATAAATCCAATGATAAAATTCTCAAAGTCACTAATAGTTGATTTTTTAAAAATTTTTATGTAAGAAATTTTTCTAAGGTTTTCTTGAATGATGGATAACTTAGATAATATTTCAAGATTAATAAGAGAATTTTTTTCAAACAATAATAAAAATATAAAAATTAAAGTGAGAAATTAAAACTAATAAAATAAAAATTAAGTAATTAAAAATTAAATAAACTTTAAATCTTCTTTTCTTAAAAAATAAAAAAAATAACTATGATGATAAAATTCTAAGAAATCATGAAAGAGTGATTTTTTAAGAAATTTTTAGGTGAGAAAGTATTTATTAATTTTGTCAAAATAATGAAAAATTTAGATAAACTTTCAATATAAAATAAAAATGAAAAATAAGAAAAAATAATAAAAATTAAATCATTAGAAAAACTAAACTTTTTCCATAAAATATTTAGTTAATTTGATGATAAAACCTTTTAAAGAGAATGAATGAATATTTTTAAATATTTTTTAAGGTGAGAAAATTTTAAAAATTCTTCAAAAACGATGGAGACAACTTACATTTTATCCAATATTTTGACTAATAAAATTTAATAAAGAATAAAATAACATTTTAATTAAAATAATTTTAAGATAATATAAAATTAATTGATACCATATTTGAAATGACATTGCGAGATACTAATAACTTTCTCACATATACTTATATTTTTTAACTCAATTTTGAAATATAAACTATAACCTTTTTTTTTTAAAGAACTCAGATTAAGCTTATGATTTCTCTAAAAAAGATATATTCAATTCAGTGGCTATCATAACAAAAAAAAAAAAAGACTTTATTTTTTGTGTTTAGTAATTGAGTTTTCAAAATTACACGTTATGAAAAAAATAAAAAGATAAAATGTAATAAATCATGAATACTCGCACATTTAACTCACATCTTCCTTATTTTGCCTCATTTTCATTTTTTTAATTTAAAATGATTTATTTTTTTTAAATAAGTGTGAAAATTAGTAATCATTACTTTTTTTTTTATCTTATGAGCACATTTAAAATTTATTTTCTTTTCACATTTTTACCTCCACTAATCCATTCTTTCAAGCTTTGACATTTCTACTCTACCAATATTAATAATTATTTTAACAACATCACAAAGCTATAAAACTTTTAATAATAAAATTTGTAAATTTTGATTTTCAAACTTTTCAAAATATTTCTTTTAAAAGTTTATATTTATATAATTTTTTAAAGAGTGTTTAGTTTCGATATTTGAGATTATTTATTCAGAGTGGTATTGAAATATAATTAAATGTCAAGCATAGGATTCAAACAAGATAGATAAAGTGACGAGGTACGCTAGATATTTTATGTGATCGCAATATGCATTTTAAAATTAAAAGTAAAATTGTATAAAATAATTGTAAGGCTTATATTATTATATGGAATTGATTATTAGCTGTTAAAAATCAATATAAGAAAAAAATGAATATAGTAGAAATGAGAATACTTAGATGAATTTGTGATAAAATTAAAATAAAATAAAAAAATAAAAAGATTCAAAAAAATTAGGAATAGTTTGAATTGAAAAGAAGATGAGAAAGAATAATTTGTAATAGTTTGGATATATGAAACATAAGTTTAGTTGTGCATCAATTAAAATAATTGAGTCTTTAGATTTATGAGAGATTAAAATATTTAAAGATTAATCATAAAAAATATGTATGTAACAAATAAAAAATGATATGATGATAAAGAAATTAAATGAAAAGATTGTTTTTTATATAAATAAGTAGTGTAAAAAAATTTAAATTACAATCTAATCTATTTTTTTTATTTAATTTTTCATACAATCGATCTCAAAATATAAAATATAAACTTTAATGTGTTGTTATTATTATATGATATTTTAAAAATAATAATACCAAACAAATTTTAGAATCTATAATATTTTTTTATTTTTAAAATACGTCTTCCTTTATATAAAAATTTAAAGATGAATAAAGTGGGATGAATTAAAAAAATCATAAAAAAACAAAAAAAAAGTAGGAAAGCCTAGGGACGCGTCACACTCACTAGGCACGTGGTACATTAGCTTATATTATAAATTTCGTAAACCAAACAAAAGACTGTGCATTTATAAGAGGACAGAGATTTATTAAAACCAACGTAATTATAATAATATATAACTAAGTCAGGCAGAGGCAGCTTTATTATGGTATGGAATTTTATAGAATAATCAATACGATTAGTGTAAGTAATTAAAATTTAAAAATTATATGTAAAATATTTATATTTAAATTTTTTCGATTTTTTTATTGATAGACAATTTAAAAATTTATAAAATTTTTTATAAATTAATGATTTACCTTAACTTTAAAAATAATATAAACTCTTAAAGATAAAATAAACTCTTTTATTCTTAAATTTTTACAAGATTTGCACTACAAGATATTTTAGATTCTTTTTCTTTCCCCGAATCAGTAAGCTCTGATTTTGGGCCAGTCTCACAATTAATTAGGCTGACCTCAACCACAAATATTTTCCGTATTTCATCCGTACCACGACAATCACCAAACAAAATTTTATCCACAAACTATTTGAACACTGTAATTAAAGTTATTTAAAATCAAACCACCATATATTAATAATAATTACAATAATAATAACAATAAAACCCCCTTTCCTAGTTTATCCAACTGCCGCTATAGATGCTTAATTTTGATTATAATAGAGTTGATAATTTGCTTATTAGTATTATATTTATTCTATATTAAATATGTCTAAAGAACAAAAATTATTATATTAAATTATGAATTAAATTTTTTATTTTTTTAAATTTATATAAAATTTTTATTTAAATTTTAAATTATATTATTTTTATATATTTTTAATATCATACCATTATATTTAAAATTATCAAATCTAATTATCAAATTTAAAATATTGACTTAGCAAAATTCTAAATTTCAATAAAAAAATTTATAAATGAAATAGTTTCTTGGATGATTTTATCAACTACTTGAAAATTTTTTTGAACTTTTTATGCAAAAAACATTTTAGATTTGATCTAACGGAAAAAAATCGAGTGTGAAATTTGAATATTTACTCACTCAATTAATTTTCAAATAAGTCATATCTTATTCCGATTAATAAATAGAGCTGAAGTTATTGTTAAAGCTTCTAGTGAAAAACCGAAGTAACTAATTATAATAGACATTAAAAAGCTAAATGAAATATGTTTTTCTTATACATATATTTATAAAGTATTTACCTAGGTTTTAATTTTTAAAAGAGATGAAAATAAGTAAAATATTAATTGAAAGAATAAATTCAATTGAAATATTATGATTCATCATAAAAGCTATTGACAAAAATGAAATGGTAGGACAAAAGTTGAAAGGAAAAATAAATAGATTTATCATCTTGTAGTTAGGTCAAGAAAAAAATTCTTGAAGAATACCAGAAAAATCGTGTCACAAATTTTGATTAGTAAAATTTTTTTATTCCTTACTTTTTTTCTTTTTTTTTTATCTATATCTAATATAACCTTCTTATAAGGTAGGAATTTAGGTACCAGATTTAATGCTCTGCATAAAAAAATCCAAAAAAAAAAGAAAAAAAAAACAGAAACTATTCATTCATGAGAGAATTAGAATTAATGAATTTAATTGTGTCACCAAATTCTTTCGGGTAGAGCCACAGATTGGAGGTCCAGCCCGCTGGTTCCTTTTGGACAAATTAAAAGAATTTGTGTATGGAAAAAATTCATAGTTGCTAAAAGTACCATTCTCGAATCAAAAAGCTATCACAAGATTTCCATGGCCAATTTTTTTTTTTCAACAAAATGGAAAAAAAACCCATAAATTAAATCCCCTTGGCCTACAAAAACCACAAAAAAATTAAAAAATTGGTTGGTCCATGTCTTGCAAGCTGTTGCCTGTTGCAGTGCAAGGCTGAACTCTAGTCTGAGTCAGTGTTGGGGGCGTTGTGTTTTTTTCTTTTACAGCTCGTGATAAGATAGAAAGTAGCATAGAAAGGAGGGAGTTGAAAAGGAGAGGTTTGGTTCTGTCAGTAATGGGGCTAAACTTTGGCAAAGGCAACCTTGTGAAATCTTTGCCTCGTTGTCTACCAGTAGTTAGTTGGCAATTAACCTTTAACTCTTGGCCTTTTGAAATATCCATTGCTCTCTTCGCTTTCCTCCACACATAAAAAATTTAAAAAAAATCATTAGTTTCCTTTCCTTTCTTTTACCTATTTTATTACTATTGTTTTTGTTTTTTTTGGAGTGATTCTTCTTCATCTTCCTCTCTCCTTAAAAAGCATTGTTGAAACTTTGGAACTAGGAATGAATCGTGAAACAAGCTTTGAACAAGAAATGGATGGGGTTAGAAGCTTGGAACCTTATTATTCCGAGTTTGTTGAAGTTGATCCTACTGGAAGATATGGAAGGGTAAATAACTAAATACAACTGAAACCCCTTTTTGGCAAATCATTAGTTTTTGCTTTCTACATTTATTGGTTTTCTTCGTTTTTCTTTTTCTGGGAATTAAAGTTTTGATTTTGAGTCCCAAAGTTTGTTGATTTTATTTATTTATTTTTTTGCAGTATAATGAAATCCTTGGCAAAGGTGCCTCAAAGACTGTGTATGAATTATCTCATGTTTCTCTTTATTTTAAAGTTGTAAATTCATAATTTAGTGTTAAGAAGTTTTTGGTTAATTGGATGGTGTGGGTGTGTGTGTCTATTGGTTTGCTTAATTTTTCAGTTACAAAGCTTTTGATGAGTATGAAGGAATTGAGGTAGCATGGAATCAGGTGAAGCTTCATGATTTCCTGCAAAGTTCTGAGGATCTTGAGAGGTTATACTGTGAAATTCACCTCCTCAAAACCTTGAAACATGAAAACATCATGAAATTCTACACTTCTTGGGTTGATACTACTAACAGGAACATCAACTTTGTTACAGAAATGTTCACCTCTGGTACTCTCAGACAGTAAGCATTATGTAGTCTCATAGAATTTCTGTCAATCCTGTTCTTGTTTTCCTGTCTATTTTGGGTAAATGAGTCTTCAAATTAGCTTCTTTTTTTTTTAATTTTTATTTTTTATGAGGGTATCCTTAATATTCATGTTTTGGTATAGGTTTAGGCTAAAACATAGAAGAGTAAATATTAGAGCTGTGAAGCATTGGTGTCGACAGATTTTGAGAGGACTTCTCTATCTACATAGCCATGACCCCCCTGTTATTCACAGAGATCTCAAGTGTGATAACATTTTTGTTAATGGTAATCAAGGGGAGGTCAAAATTGGTGATCTTGGCCTGGCTGCAATTCTCCGTAAATCCCATGCTGCTTGTTGTGTTGGTATGTTAATGAAAAAATTGCAAATTCTTCTTTTATATTTTATTGTTTATATGCCCTTTGTTGGCATCATTTTGTTGAATAATAGACTTAATTCTCCAATGGTGCCTCATTGTCAGATCATTCTTTTGCTTCTCTCCTTTTATTATGATCAGGAACACCAGAGTTCATGGCTCCAGAGGTGTATGAAGAGGAATATAATGAATTAATTGACATATATTCTTTTGGGATGTGCATCCTGGAAATGGTCACTTTTGAATATCCATACAGTGAATGCACCCATCCTGCTCAGATCTATAAGAAAGTTGTTTCTGTATGAACCATAACCTCGCAAAATTTTTTGTTCTCAGATTGACTAATCTCCAGCGCTTGATTTGACATATTTATATTTGATATAGGGAAAAAAGCCAGAAGCTCTATACAAGGTAAAGGATCCTGAGGTTAGAGAATTTGTTGAAAAATGTTTAGCAACTGTATCCTGTAGGCTTACCGCCAGGGAGCTTCTGAGAGACCCTTTTCTCCAAATTGATGATTATGGATCTGATTTGAGACTAATAGAGTACCAAAGAGACTACATTGATGCAGGAGCTCTTGTGAGACAACCTCTTTATGATATTTACATTAGTAACAACAGATCTTTGATCAATGGATACACCAATTATCTTGGTTATGGACCTGAGAATGATTTGAGCTATAATTCACTTGAATATGAAACTGGTGAAATCGATTTGTTTACTAGTCATGTAGATGGGCATTTGGGAGATGTTGAACTTGCAATCAAGGGCAAGATGAGAGAAGATGATGGCATCTTTTTGAGGCTCAGAATTGTAGATAAAGAAGGTTAGAGTTTTGAACTATCTCCTTCCATTATTCCTATTTGGTTTCCTAAATTCTCTATCTTTGTCAGGATTAACTAAATAGAGAATAATTCTCTAGATTTCTGTTGGACTCCACGGAATTTTTATTTTTTGTGCTTTTTCAAATCTAGGTTTAGTTGTATACTTGTGCTTCTATTCTGCATTACTGTTGCAAATTTTAATTCTTTATGCAGGTTGTATTCGAAACATCTACTTCCCATTTGACATTGAGTCTGATACAGCATTAAGTGTTGCAACTGAAATGTTGTCTGAGCTTGATATTACCGACCAAGATGTCACAAAAATAGCAGATATGATTGATGGTGAAATTGCTTCTTTAGTACCAGAGTGGAAGACGGGATCAAGCATAGATGAAAATTCACAATGCATAAGTTCAAGCTTTTGTCAGAGTTGTGCTTCAAATAGCTACCTGTCAGATTATTTATCATCAAGTAGTGCAGGTGCCAAGAACCTGCAAGTTATTCAGTGCTCAAAACACGGTTGTACTGCTGTCCATGGTCGTTTCGAAGAGATCACCTACCAAGTCGGAGGGCAGGAACAATGTGTTTCAGAGGTTGTAGAGGCATCCTTAAGCCAATCAGATGGTAGTATCCATTATGCTGACATTTGGGCTCAGCGAGAAGGACCAGAACTAAGTTCACCAGGTCCAAAGGATATCCACTGTGATGAGGCAAATGAGACATCAGATCAGCCAATTTATGGAAAGGAGGAGAGAATTATAAGCATGGATAATCAAAGTGATTCCAATTCTAGGAACTCTCTCTCTGCCTACAAATCAGTGGATTCTGGTTTCTTGGATGATTATGAGAATGAAATTAGGCAAGAACTAAGATGGCTCAAAGCAAAGTATCAAATGCAGTTGAGGGAACTTAGAGACCAACAATTAGGAGTTAAACCAAAATCTCTGAGCTCGACTCAAAGTTTCAACGACTTGGAGAATGACAAAGATAACAAAGCTTCAATATCTTCAATTTTGGCATCCCCTAAGAGAGAAAGCAATGGACCTCTCCTGAAATCATTACCCTCAGGAAAGCATCTTCCTCCATATTTTCCTATTGCTGGTGAGAAAAAATGTGCTAATTTTGCGAGCCAAGTAGTCCAAACTTCTGAGGCAATTCACAGTTCTTATAATCCTGAGACACTAGCCACTGCCAAGAGTTTCTACACAGGAGCATTGCTTCCGCACCCGCTTCACAGGGCATCATCCCTTCCAGTTGATGCTGTAGATGTGTAGAGGTTGCAGAAATTTCTAATTATATTCACCAGGTTTGCACTCCACACCCTCTTGCCATTTACTGGCCGACTCACTCTGTAACTAAAATGAAGGCAATGGATATTTGTTACTCATAGAGAGATATAACTATTCACAGCTTGTAGGTGTCCAAGAGGGATCACTTGAGTGAATGAAGATCATGTTATTGTACATTACCCCACTAAAATTAAAGTATGAAAGGTTTCACATAGTTTCATCTAATCTAAGCAGAAGGGAATTTCTTCTTATCCACATTGTTGCATTGTCTGTGAGAATTTCAACTGCTGAGGATCTGCCATGTCTTAAAGAATGCTGTTGAGGAGGGTAATTTTCCGACTGCCCATGACAATGTACATTTAATATTGCATTGTGTCCGTTGTAGCTATAGGATCAGTCTCCGAATTCCCTCCACAGAATTTTCAACCCCACCTATCCAAATTAGTCTTATAGCTCCTAAAAACCTGCAGCCACAAATGACAGATCATCCATGAAGTCCATTGCGATCACCATAGGCCCTACTTTTTTTTTTCCTTCTAAAGTAAACCATTGCACGACTGTGGATCATTTTGTGAGAACAAAAAAGTAGGATGGTCCAAGAAAGTATGATGGCTTTAGTGGTTCAACAAGAACACGTCACTAACCTAACTGCGGCGTCGTGTGATTATGATTATCTGCGTGCACAACTTGCCAACTTGATTAGATATTTGAATGGTATGATCAGTACTGTATACAGCCACAAGCTGTTTAGCTTCCTGCCTGTCTATACTTTGTAAAATTACTGTGGATTGCAGCTACTTGCATGCTCACAATAATTCTAGGACACACCACAACTTCAAATGCAATGGATGTTATGAGATTTATTAAAAAAAAAGAGTAAATTAATATTTAGTAGATAATAACAATTAAAATTGGCAATTGTTGTATTTTTATGCGTTTTTGTATTTTTTGGTTAAATATGTGGAATATAAAATTTTTTTTATAATTCGTATTTATACAATATTTTGTTTTTACGAAACTTTTATATGATATTAATTTAAATTTTAAATCATATTATTTTTATATATATTTTATATTATATTATTATATTATATTTAAAAATTTCAAGTCTAACAACAATCATATGATACAACATTCATATAATTTGTTAATTAAAATAAAAACTTTAATTTTAATAATTAAATTAAATTATGATATATTTAATTATAAATAAAACGTCATAAATAATAAAAGATTCAAATTTAGCTAAAAAGAATAGTAAATTAAACAATTTGATAAACAGTAGTAATGAAGTGTTAGTTTAGAGTTATGACTTGTGACTTCCAGTAAACTGTAACTTTCATGAACCTAATATTTTGCATCGTAGCTGCCCACGAGACCAAGAAAAGTTAGGTCGTGGGAAAGTGCTTTACAATTAACGTATACAGATTCCCTTATTACTTCGCATTCGAAAGAGGCTTTTACAAAACAAAGCTTCCCCTGTTGAATTTAGAAGCAGAAAGCAAGAAAAAGTGAAATCTTTCGTACAAAAAAGATTACCCAAGTAATCACTTTTAAAACTTGCATTGAATGTTGCCTTGTTTCTGTCATTCTCATCCACAGCCTACACTTTGTCACTTGTGCCACGCCCAACAAACCTTGGTTCCTCTTCTCAATCAAGTTCTGCTGTGCGACTGTCTTTCCAGAAAGATTTGCAGTTTGTTATAATGCCACTCTAGTTGATGTAATAAAGGCACCGACAAATCAAAGGACGATTTACTTGGGCCGCATTTGAATTTGACTGATGCCCCGTTTTGATGCGATTTTCTTTTGTGCAATTCTACCCTGTGATTAAGTGGTTGGATCCAATTCGTTTTTTTTTATAATGAAATCTTAAATTTGAATCTCGATAATTATTTATTAAGATTATTTTAAATATATAATTTATATTTATTTATTTTAAATTATGATATATTTTATTTTGATTTGAAGATTAAATAATTTATTTATTTTAAATTTTTTTATCAAAAAATAATTTTACTGTGCTACAAGTGCGTTTGTAAAAAAAAAAAAAATAATAATAATAAAAATTTCTCACCGTGTCTCAGAATTTTCATTGGAGAGGAGGATTTGTTAAGATTTTTTATTCTCACCGCAATTTTTTTTTTTTCAAAACAAGCCCTACTTCAATTTTTTTCTCTTTTTATTTTTGAAATTATAGTACACACCTGCCACTTAAGCTTTCCTAGGTCCATTTTTTCTTTTTTCTTAAACTTTATTTTAAAAAAAATAATTATTGAATTGATATAAAAATAATTATTATCTTCTAAATTATCTTCAATTTGTGTAGATATATTATTATTAATTTTTTTAAAAATCATTTGATATAGTACTATCATTTTTATTAATTTTTTAAATTATTTATAAACAAAATTAATATTTGATATAAAATAATTTTAGTAATTTCAATTGTTTATAAATACTAAATAATTTAAAATTTATATTTATACAAATTTAAATTTAATATTCTTAATAATAATTTTCCTTCTAACTCTATTTTATATCATTGCAATCAATATGTTTACATTCAAATATATTTTATTATTAATTTTAATTTTATAGTTATAATACCTAATTTTACCATTATAATAATCTCATATTTATCCCTTATTTCAATTTCATCAAAACTAATTTTATCGTATATTCAAATGAATTTTTATTCATTAAAAAGATCAAACATGTGAGAAAGAAACTTACATATATTATTTGACATTGTTACCGATTAAATTTGTATCATTAAAATTTAAAGTTTATAACTCTTAACATTCACATTATTATTGACTTACATTATGTAAATTTTAAAATTGTTATTTCTATGCATGCTACAATTTATATAGTGTTAATGACAAAAATGTCATCTGAATAATAGTCAAATATTTAAATTAGTGCTTAAACTTAAAAAAGAGTTATGTGGTATTTGAACCAATAAACTATTAACAATTTTGATTGTGGATTTTAAAAAGGAGTAATGTAATGCTTCAACTAATAAATTATAAAAAAAAACCTATTAGCAAATTTAGCTAGTGAACGGTTAGTGGAAAGTGATGTTGGTAAAAAATTTTGGATTGAATGTTGTTTTCAAAAAAAAAAAAAAATTAACCAAACAAATCCTTTTAAGTTTTAACCCTTTTAACTTTTTTTGTTAAATTTTATTTATTTTCTAAAAAAGTAATTGTAATGGTCTTCTTTTTACGAAAATTAAGTGAAGAAACTGATTCTACTAGATTAATCAATTATTCCTGTTATTCCCCCCATAAAAAAAAAAAAAAAAACTAAAGAGAATGATAGCTTTAGTAATAAACTTTACCTTGAGCTAAAGTAGGATTCTACTACATTAATTTATTTATTAACTTTAGTAATAAAAGTTTCCGATTTCGTTTTTTTTCTTAAACAAAAAAAGTAACATTTAACCAAAAAAAAAAAAAAAAAAAGAGAGTTAAAAGGATTTTTGGTTATATAATATTTAAAAATACGTTTTCTTGACAAAATAATAATTATCATCCAAAAATTTTGGACCAATGATAGTATGTCATGTGTATGTTAACTTGAAAATTTTCTACCATTAGTGATATATTAATTTCATGGGTCACTTTAATAGATATGTTAAAGGATAGAGCTACCTTAAAGCCTGATGAGTCGATTTGACTCCAGCAAAACCTTGAATAAAGAATTTCAAGTTGAGGCTCAATCCAACCTAAAAAATTAAAATATTAATAAAAGTTATTTTTATTTAATATTAATGTTAAAATATATTTAACATATTAAATATTAATATTTTATTTATATATATATATATATATATTTCGCTTTTAAACTTCGGGAGTTGGATCAAACCTTGAATAAATTTTTTTTAAAATCAATAGAGTCTAATCTAACTTATGAATAAATTCAAATATTACACATGTCATTTTTATATAAAAACTAATTCATCAATTTTTATTAATGATTCACTAATGATGTTAATCCAAATACTAAATTTTTGACAATTTATTAATTCAAATTTCATATTGCCAAATCCCAAATTTTATTGGCCAAAAAAATCTCTAAATTTAAATATTAATTTGACCTTATAACATATTTCAGATACCATTTTTGTCATTAGCTTTTTTAAAATTTTGGGAAATTAATTGAAATTTAAAGTCAAAGTCAACTTAAAATAACTTCTCCTTTTACTATTCTTTGACGAAGAAAATTGCAAGTATTTGGTAAAATATGCTGTTTGAAGTGTGGAAATTGTCATTTTCTTTCAATCTCCAAAAAAATACGTTAACTTGTGTGTTATCATGACATTTGCCTTTTTTTCTAAAAAATAAATAAATAAATAAAATAAAAAAAGGGTTCTTGCAAAATCAAAATATGTTCTATAGTTGGGCAAAGACCAATATTATAGGTCATATTCCCCCATTATAAGTCCATAACATCTTTAATGACCGAGGGAGAAAGAAAGATATGCTTCGGCAACGACCATGCTTGAAGTGAACTGACTCCTGATTTTTAAAAAAAAAATATTTTTATAGTTTTATTTTGGTAATTTGCCTCTTGAGTTTTTATTGCCTACCAAATCCAAATTACGAAATTCAACCTGTTTCGTTCTGCTAAAAGTTTGCTCCGTAAAAGAAAAGGGTTATGCCCAAAACTGCATATATATCCCCTTGGTGCTTTGGAATCTCAACATGGTTCTTGCACCGCCAAACTAATCCAACGGAAAATTTTTGAATGCAAATGAAGAGGCCCACCTTAATGTCAATTGTAACGATCCAACTTTAATATAATATCATCATGAAAAATTTAAGACTTAACAAATGTACAATAACACTATTTTATATATTGTTCATGTGTAAGTTTGATGTTTACTCTGTAATAAATTCATAAGAAGTATGAGATTAAAGAACAGAATAAATCCGGACTTGATATCATGTTTAAAAAATTATTTTAAATATGAATTATTTTTCAGGAGAATATCCTATATATTTATTTTAAGAGAATCAAGCTAATCATGTTGTAATTGTATTGTAACCTTTAATTACAGTAATTCCATTAAAAATATATAAGGTTGTAGTTGCTGCCATCATATTCACCGTAGATTTGTGTAAGTTTGAAGAAATTAAAGAATCAGTCTCATGTTGTGGAGTCCATAACACCTCCACACCCTATAAGAGGCAAGTCCTTGTACGCCTTAAGCAATTAGTATTGAGTCCTTATTTCCTTACCATAGTTTTGGTGGAACTGATGTCACCAAAGAAATCAATGCCTTCATCATGTCCGCAGTGCTTGTAATTGTAGGCAAATTGCGTACAACTTTAATTGCCACCAGGATTGTTACCTGTGAATGAAGAAGTATTAAAGTGATAAGATGAGAACAGAATATTAAAAGATATTAGCAAGCAGAAAGAAGCATAATCGAATTAATAATAATTCATGCAACTGAGCTCAATGGATGCAGATGCTATAGTAGGATGTTCATAGATACTTTCAAAGATCAGAAAACAAAAAAATTTAAACGAAAATTTTTCTCTAAACACTCTAAAATTTTTCTTGAATACCTCCAAAATTTTTTTCTGCATTTTTTTTTTTAATTCCTTAATGCTTTACTCACAGTCACTACTCAATACTCGGTCATAATCCACAGCCAACAAACATCTAGCACCCAGTAAATACTCACTACAATAAGTCGACACTAAAAAGAAATTTTGGATCCGTCACTGATAAAGCTAGTAACTTAATGAAATATTACACGAAGCGCACAGCTATGTAATCCTTCCTTATAACTTTACC